TATGCACTGAAACGGTGACATGAACAATTCCATACTTTTATTATTATACTTACGAAGACTGAACGTGACGGTTGGCTCGGAACGATCGCACACGACCTCTGTTTTCAATGAGCACTGCGGGTTCGTCGCACGAATTTTCGGAGCGCTAACGTAATACAGAAAATCTCTGCAAATAAAAAGCATTATGCATGTTATTATCTCATGTGTTGATCTAAGAAAGCCTAATCTATACATTCTTTTTAAGGACGTAGAAATTAAATTTTTCATCGTTTAATCTACGTTTTGTTTTTTCGCCTTTTCTCTTCTTTTTTTTTGCACTCTTATCTTACAGCTTTGTAGTAAACGTGATTTGCTGGTTACTACTTCCCCGTTACATTTCTCAATGTGTTTATCATTCCTTTCACAGGCAAAATGGCACAAATGGAGCAGCAATTACCGCTTCCAATGCCAGATTTAAGTACTCTTCGTATAACTACAGCCGTCTCCATGCTCGGTAAAGCATATGGATGTGGCCAATGTAATGGTGAGTTACATTCGTTTTAAATAGGTAATTTAAAGAGAAACATTGTTATGAAACGGAAAGAAAGTCATTATTATCCGTATATTCATCTTTTAATACGTTTCTGATTATTGACAAATGACAAGAGGAAAATAACAATAGATAGACCATATTTTTTTAATTTTCACAAAAGTGTCTAAACCAATTAAAAGCTCCTCAAAAATTAAATTTGATGTTTCGTACATATATCTTTATATATACGCGTATATTTATGGATTGTGTGTCTTCAACGATTTGATTATCAAAGTAGATTGATCTATAAATAATTAGAATCTACAAATAAAAAGAATAGACGCACACACGTGCGCATAAAATAGTTGAAATAATACGGGAACATTGTATTCGCACATTGATAGTGTCAAAGTAAATCAAAAAGCTTTATTTAGATGACCTGCAATTCGCGTAAAATTTAGAAAATAAATTTTAATAATAAAATTATTTAATTATAACTATTATTATTGATTTTATT